CTTAGTGAATAAAGACAGGCCTAAATTCCAGCCTGCACGTGACACTCCCACCGGGGCCAGCTGTGCTGCCCGACACACCATAGTGACCAGGGTCACCTAGAACCTTGGAATACAATGAGCTACTGCCTCATCTCTAGTTGATCCAAGATGCCATATCTGTGTTTCAATAGCTTCCTCTACAAGGCAGGATTAAAAAACTTTGTTTTTGCTAACTCAGTTAAGTTCGGTGGGAAGTAGTAATACTTGTTTGTATTTATAGAGTACCTGGGGATATTTACTGCACCTTCTCCTTTGGCCCCCCAGAACGCCTGTAAGGGGCGATATGGAGATCACTGAGCAGGTGAGCACCAGTCAGTGGCTGGCTTGAGGTCACGTGGCCTGTCGGTTTCCTTCTCTTTGGGGTGCCTCGCCGGGGTCACCCACTCCAGGGGCCCGAGGGCTGCAGCTGGTCGTTGCCTGTGCTGTTCCCAGCCCTGCTTCTGGCTGCATGTACTTCACAGAAGACTCTCTGGCCCCCAGGGTCCCTTTAAAAACAGCTTCTGTCACTTTCCCAATGCACACAGGCAAGAAGAGGGAGAGTAATCCATTCCATTTGTGTCTTATTTTCATTTTATAAATAAAAATGAAAATTGATTTCATGGGAGAAGCCACTGCTTTAGGAAAAAAATTCCATCTGCCTCAGAATCTCATAGAACAGTATGCAGCTTCACCAGGACTTTCAGGTACTCCTCAGAAGGGACCTGCTTCCTTTTTCTTAAGCCAGGTTTAAAAAAAAAATTCACAGTGAGCGGTTCTGGCAGAAGATGCCATCGGTCTCCAATTGCCCCACTGGGCTTTCATTTTGGTGATCTTATGCATCACCTCCGACCCTGAGGTTCAGAGGAAATGCCCAGTTGGGGCTGGGGGGCTGAGCACCACTGGCTGCCTGAGAAAGGCTGCTTCGGGGTCAGGTATTTGTGTGTGTGTATTTCAGGGAGCATGTGATCTTCTTGACATTTTCCATCCATTCTTGATGCTTTCGTGGGACAATTCCTTCTGCTTTCCAGAAAGATTTCAAAGTACAGACAGCCTGCATTTCCCAGGCTTGATGAGACACCATGCCTGACGCTGGCAATTGGTGTGCCAGGCAGGTTGGCACATGTGATGGGGCAATGGAAATGAGTTCTGTGAAGGAAGTATTTATGGAGGAATGGAAAGGTTGAGGGCCAAGAAGGGGTGGGGGACCCCAGAAGTGCAGGCCCCTTGGGGTGATGACTGGGCTGGAACTCATTCTTCTACCTTTATTTCTCCTTGGTGGAACCCCGACTGCCCTTGGGGGAAAAGGCAAACTGCGGTGTGGTCTGTAGTATCAGACATGAGTGAGACTTGGCCAGAAAGTTGATTCAGAGGTGCAAACAGAAAACAACCTGCCCAATGGGGTAATTGTTTTGTTGTGATTCACTCAACTACCAACATTTACTTGGTGAATTCCACATGCTGGACATTGTCCTGGGTGCTTGGGAAGATGGCATGAGTCCCTTTCCTGGCTCTTCATCTCTGAGCAGCAGTTAAGGACTATGGCAGTGCCTCTGTGGCACCTGAGAAGGCCTGTGCTCTATGTATGACTTTTGAGGACTGAGATACAAATAATTTCAAAAAGCTCATAATCTCTAAGCCATGCTTTGGCCTCCACTGTGTGATGTGGCAGTTCCCCTGGCTGCCTGCCTGCCCGAGGCATACCTGCCTTAACCTTAGAGTGAAACAAATGTGTGCTTCCTGGGAGGGGCAGCCGCAGGGCAGTGGAGCATGCAGAGCGTCGGAGCAAAGAGAATTAGTGTTAATTATAACACGGTGCACCATGAGAAACTGGTTGGATGTTAGTGGACGGGCTCACTCGTCATGTCATGCCTTACTGTGATCTGCTTGGTTTCCACAATCTTGGTTCCCCCGTGGAAGAAGCACATTATCCAAAATAGCCCATGGTCTAGCAAGGCCCACAAGTGTGCCCCAACCTGGCTACCAATGTGCACAAACCTGAGAGGACAAGGCTCTGGATTTAGTGGCTCTATCTAGATCCCTTCTCTCTGCAGGGAAAGGGCTGGTGGCTGCCAGGGGATGGGGGCGGCAGAGAGGACATTGCTGAACCTAGACATCGGAGAGCAGGTCAGCGGGACATCTGACTTCAGCCTGGCCCTGGCCTCCCACTTTCTTTGCTTCTCTCCTTTGACAGGAACTTTGAGGAAGGATAGCTGGTTGGGCTTGGGAGTCAGAGGCAAGGCTTTGAATTCTAACTTTGCAGCTTCACAGTGTGATTTCAGGCAATCTGTCTTCCAGAGCCTCCGTTTCCTCATCTCTGAAATGGGAGCCTGATTATCTATTTTTAGTTTGTGTAAGGGTTAATGACAACATGTGCTTTAAGTGCTTAACACAGGCTGGCACAGGAATCTGTTTCATGCATATAAAGCCACCCCCTGCTGAACTTGTGGCCAAGGGGTTCTCTGTCTTGAAGTTCATGTCTTTGGCTTTTCACCAACTCACTCAGGTGCTCCTGATTTCTTCCTGCCTCTTAAGCTTTACTCCCAGAACCAAACACTTGCTCAAATGTGGCCTGCTTTGTCATATCTGTGCCAGGAGGACTCCTGAGTGAGGTTCCTTTCTGGCTGTATTGGGCTTCTCCATTGCAGACTGTCAGGGGTGAATGTCCTGCCCTTGGAGTATCCCCTTCAAGGTTTCACACTGGGGGCTCCCTTTGGAGACCAGTATCATGGCATCTGGTAAAGGGGCAATCTATCCTCCCCCAGTGGTCCCTTGCAAGCCTTTGGAACAACTTCAGGGCCAGGGCCTTGGGGTTCTTGCTGTTACCCAGAAAACTCAATATAAGACACATTTTTAAAACATGAATGTTACTGCCCATCCCTGATGACCCAAAGGTCATGACCGTATAGCTCCCCAGTTACAGTAGAGGTGACCCAGGTTCCAGCACCCTCAGTTGCTCACCCTTCCACTATCACAACTTTTCATGCATAGGCCCTGGAACATGGGGTACAGGCCTCGTCTGAGCAGTGGTCTTACTGCCACTGAGTGGGGCTGTCCCTGTAAGCCTGCTCTGTGTGGGACCTAAACTAGTTTAGCTGTAACTTAATTCAACTTGCATCTTTCTGGCCATGTGTATGTAAGACAAGTTAGATGAGGCAGCTAAACATGTCAGAACTGCCTTTCAGTGAAAGATGGGCACTATTCTTTTTGGTATTACAGACCATCTATATGTCTCTATAACTTTATCTTAGCTCTACATGTGATAGTGGCCTCCTTTTTTAGGAAAAAAACCTTACATGGTGAGAAAGGGCCTCTTAGATTTAAATGCACATAAATCACCACAGGATCTTAAGATGCAGATTCTGTGATTGTAATGAGCCCTCCACTGGTGCTGGTGTGCTGGTGGTTGGGCCACATGTTGGGCAGCAAGATGGTAGTGGGCAGTGCTGCACAGGCGAGCACCAGCCTTTCCAGGTGTGCCTTTGGATGTCACCAGTCCTGAGCTGGCAGACTGCCTGGGCTATGGACACAGAAATTCTGTCCTGCTGGGGCACTCTTGGAAATTCCCTTTTGTTTAAATTTGGTGTTAGCAGCATGTGTGACTCCAGATTTAGTCTTGATGTGTTCCAGCTTCTTGGGCCATCAGAGACCTCCAACCAGCTGTGACCTGGCCAGAACTGTCCTTAACCAAATGGCCTAAGCCCTAGGGAGGTGAACTCAGGCCCTCTCTGGGGGAGGTGAGCCTGGGATTCTCCCCACAATGCCTTTTTTCAAAGGATTTCTATCACTGGACAGACAACACAAGCAACAGGTAACAAAACGCCAGACTAAAATTCACTTTGTTCTCCAGGTTGCTGCTGCCCCCCTCCACTTGCAGACTGCAAGAGGGAAGACGGGGAGGCGGCAGGAAGGCTTTGGGTTCTAATGAATTAGAGGCAGCCAGGAGCAGCAGAGGGAGAGGCTGGCCCGGCCGCACTGAACCGGAAATGTTGAGAGAGAGATAAAGAATTCAGCAGCAGAAGTAGTAAACAGTTTTATTTGCTGTTGGGAGGATAAAGGAGGCAGGAAGGAGTATGACGGACGAGGGGAAGGGGCCTCTAACGTCCCGTTCCCACATCGGCAGGGCAGGACCTGTGGTAGAGTGATTTGTGAGGGTCAGGAACTACCCCAAAACAAGCTTATGGGGTGAGGAGGCCAGAACCTGTGGTAGTTGAATTTTTATCAGGAAAAAAAAAAAAAAACACCAAGGAAAACGAACAGCCTTGCATTTGGTGTGGGTTTCCTGTTTTAATACAGGTTTGATGAAGAGGAAAGGAGGAAAAATAGCAACTTCTAAGTGTCACTGGGCTGGCCCTAGCTCAGGCCCTAAGGCCTTAGTGGGGCAGGGGATAGATCCCTCTTCCGGTAGGGTCCACCGCTCCGAGACAGGGTGGCAGCATGAGCCTGTGCTCCTGTTTCTTATCTGACCTAAGAATCAGAGCTGACAGAGGGGAAAACCAGGTTCTCCAGGCTGGCAAGGTCTGAGGACACCAAATCAGGCAGAACAGCTAGTGTCCCCAGGAGCAGATGTCTGGGCAGAACTTCTCCACAGCTGTCTGAGTGAAGAGAGCTAGATAAGCTTTAGGGTGGTGCCGAGATGGGGGCTTGCATAGGGTCCAGCCTGCCCCCTGTGGTGTAGGGTCAAAGAGCAGAGCTCAAGGTCTTCTAGAACAGTGTGCTAAGTGGCTGCCTCTCCACCCAGCCTCAGGCTGCCACCTTGACTCCCCACCAAATGCCAAGGATGGAGTGTGTCTGGAACACCCATCACAGGGGCTGCCCTGGCAGTGACCTTGCTCCCTCATCTCTATCCCTCACCCTCCTTTGCTTTTCAGAGACCTCATGATATGGACAAGCTCTTGACAAAATCATATTCTCAGCTTCCCTCCCAGCTAAATCAAAACCCCCAAAATGTCCCGCCCAACAAATCCACAGGTCAGAGACCTTAAAATTCTTTTTAAAAAAATGGACCAACTTAATTTCATCTTATAAATGCTGAAAACCACCACCCCAAATTAAAACATATTCGCTTGATTATAAGGCACAGGAGGCATGCAGGCTGCCCTCTCCCTGTCTAGGCTGGTGGCCTGTGTCCTCCATTTGACACCTCCCTGAGCCTGGCAGAAGACTCAGGCAGATGGACAGTGGGGAGCTTTCAGGCGACTTCTAAATGCCAGTGGCCCTGCTTCTCAGAAAAGTGTTCCACCCACTAGGCACCTGCCAGGCACCCACCAGGGGGCTGAGCAGGCAGAGAACCAGGGTGGCTCATCACAGAGCTGCACATGACAGATGCCAGGAGAGGCAGGTCACGGGCATTCTGTAGATCAGGCAAGTGAGACACTTTGAACTTTCGAATACTCCTTTCTTCCCAGTTGGCCTCAGAAAGAGGAAATGCCCCTTAAAAATTAGTTGCTCGAACCAAAGAGATCACATCTATCATATCCCCCAACAAAATTGCTGTCTCTTAACTGAATCAGTTAGCAAAACATATCTATGGCTCTGGAGAAAGTGATGTCTTTGTTCTCTCCAAGTGTTCCTTGAACTTCTAGCTTGCTTGACTATCAGTACTGGATGTGTGCGTGGCATCTTAGATGAATTAGCAATGCAGGGAAGGGGTGATTGGTGAGATGTGTTTAACTCACAAACATATATAAAAACAATAAAATATTTTAATTCTCTTTTTACATTGCCACAGGCTTTTTCAGTCAGGGGCCCTTTTCTGTTGTGGGTATGAGGTGACCTAGAGGTGCTGTGCCTCAGATCAGGTCCTCCCAGTGCGTAAGTACAAGTCACAAAATTTTGCACTAGTAGCCCTGGGTATGTGCTAATGGCGAGTTGTGCCTCCTCAATCCACTCAAGTTCAGCTTAGGACGCAGTTTGTCCCAGCTGCGAAAAGCCTCAAAATACCAATCATGCGTCTTACCCTTATTCTGGATTTTAATAAAACACTTTATATATATATATAGAGAGAGAGAGAGATAGATAGATAGATAGATAGCACAATAAATGTGCTTATTATGCACTCTAACATAGAGCACAGGAATACACGCCATGGAGCACACCCCAGCCATCTCCCCAGTAGCTAAAGTGAAAAGGTTAAACGTCCATGCTCAGTGTGACATCAGAAGGTGCAGAGCGCCACGTGGTGTCTTTGCAGACCACACACCAGCACCGAAGACTTGTCTTCTTTGTCCTCTTGGTGATAGGAGCAGTGACAGAAACAGTCATTTTCTAGGGTGAAGGGTGTGGGGCCATCTGGTGCTGAGAGTGTGATTATTGTCCAGAAATTAACTTGAAATGATGGCCAAAATTCAGCCTGGTTCATGGCCCTAAGCTGAGGGTGGCTACTTGGAAGGTTGACTGGCTTGGGGGGCTTAGGGTTATGGCAGGGTCTCAGACACACACCCTAGGAAAAAGTGCACTTCCAACAGCTGATACAAAAACAGATTGGCACGTGCTTTTGATACAGCGTGGGTATCTTTGAAAAGCTTTCCCCACATCTGCAAATTGTCTTTTCTGCTCTGCTCCAGCCCATCACACTCTTGAGTGTCAGATCCTGGAGAGATGGTCCTGGGCCACGCTTGCAAGGTTGGTGTGTGCTGGGAGGAAGGCCAGGTGGGCTGCTGAGGATTCTTGTTAGTGGGGAGCTGAAAAGGCCCCACTGTCCTCTGCATGTGTCTCTCCTTTCCTTGCTGAGTTGTAAACAGCTCGAAGTTCAACTTGGCTAGTCAGATCAAGGATGCCCTGAAAAGTTTCTGGTACTGCTTCTACACGAAAATATGTTGAAAGGGAAAAGTTTGGTGCTGAGTTCTATTTTTGCAGTTCCAGAAGTGAGCGCTGCTCTGCTCACTCAGGAAGTGGTCCCTGGCCTCCGAGGGGCCTGTGCTAGGAGCTCTGGACCAGCCGTCTGTAGTGCGGCATGACTTCGTGCTCTGGAAGATGAAGGGCAAATTCCAAGGCCACTAACACTGGGAATTCAAAGGCAATCAGTTCTCGTCTATTCAACCGAAACTTCTCTTCCAGTTTCTGCAACAAAATTTAAAAAAGTCAAAAGGGTTTTCGCTTTGAAATATAAATCCTAAATTTTCACCATGTAACCTCCCTAGCCATCAATGAGCATTTACAGAGAAATCCGTTACAGACAGGACAGTGGAGGAAGCAAGAGGCATCCCACTCTTAGTCCTGCTGGACCCACAGTCTACAGGGGGCTCCACATAACATCTCAGGTCTTACCTAATCTCTCAATAATCTTACAAGGATCATGTTACATTTATTTCTGTGTTACAGATGAACACAAACTCTATCTGTTACAACTTATTTGGGCTTAGAAACTAAAAAGATAACAAGTCATCTACAACAGTAACAGCCACATAGTAAGTTCAGGATGGGATGAGTTGATTATATGTAGTTTGGACCTTTCGTTTTACTGTGGGGACTTGAGTGCCGGCAAGGTTGCTCCAGATTCAGAGGTACAAAGGTATAACTCAGCCTGTGTGTAGCTGAGGGACAGCATTAGACTGCACGCCCACAGGGTGCCCTCTTGAAGTGCCTCTTGATCCCCCTGAACAGGGAGGCTGCTGGAAGTAGAGAACAATGAAGGTGATGGTGGGTAAAGAAGGCCTCATTTTTTTTCAAGGACACATTCTGCTGTGGCTTAAACTCAGCTTTTGTGCTTAACTAAAAACAAACAAACAAACAAAAAAGCCAATAGATCAATTAGTGACTGCATTCAGATTATACCTGGGATTGGATCTTCCATTAGGTTAATTGTTATTACAAGTGGCTTGTCAACTATTACCATTATTCTGCATTAATACTACCAGCTTTTGCTGGGTGGCATATTGCTCAACTATGATTAAATGTATATATCACTTCTAATTTTTATTACTGTTTGTTACTTGTAAAGATTTACTAGTTCAGCAAGTATCTATGAAAATCTGATTCTCATTTCAGATTTGGTATCCAAAGATTATGTCCAAGTTCCTAAGAGTATTCACAAGTTAGCTGGTTTTACTAAAATCAGTTCTTAAAATCAGTACAGCACTAATGCAAAGAATACTCTTTCTTCCAATGGGTGAATAAATAAAATGTGTTATATACATACAGTGCAATATATTTTTTTAAAAGATTTATTTTTTATTTATACAATAGCTGGGGTACAGGCCAGAGGAGCGGGAGGGTGAGAGGATTCACCAGAGACAGAGGGAGGAGCAGAATAGGCAGACAGACCGAAAGCACTGATGAGAGGAGCAGCAGGAGAGACAGGAGAGGTCTGCCGCGCCATGTGGGAATCTCCCTGGCTGGCCAGAAGTTGAACCCGCGCTACAGAAGCTGTGGACAGCTTCACAGCACTGCGCTCAACCTGCTGCGCCATGGGGGAGGCCCATACAGTGCAATATTATCCCGACACATGCTACCTTGATGGACCTTGAAGATGTTAGGCTAAGTGTATTAAGTTAGGCACAGAGACTGTGTGATTCCATGGGACAGAAAGTAGAATGGTGGTGGCCCAGAGCTTGGGGCAGAGAGGATGAAAAGTCACTGTATAATGGGTATAAAGTCTTAGTTTTGCAAGAGTTCTGGAGATGGAAGTGGTGATGCTTGCAAAACAATATGAATGCACTTAATACCAAATGAGCCATAAACTTCAAAATATTAAAATAATAAAAGAAAAAAGAGAATACCTTGTTATGTGGGGAGTATCTATATTTGCTCCTTTTCTGGGCTTTTCTTCTTTGCTACTAAATAGAGCTGCACAGATAGGTCTGTGGTGTATTGTATTAGCCATGTTTTTATTTTGTGTGTTCTGACATTGACATCTTGGGGCCTTGCTGACCTTGGAGGGAGTACCCTTCCTAGAGTTAGCCAGTTCTGAGAGAGGACCACTTACCTGTGAATGCACTATTCGCATGCAAACCAGCCAACCCAGAGCCCACATCCCAACTACTTCCTCAATCAGCTCTCCAGACCACTATTCACCTGCTCTAGTCATCCATGGTCAGACATCAGACAAGTAGGGATGGTGTCCACAAGCCCTAAAGTCTGCTAGATTATTCCAACTAGCCAATCCTAAGCCTACTCACCACCCTGCTTTGCTTATTCCTTTCCATAGACACAAGGAAGGCTCCTGCCCACAATTTCTCTCCCTTTGCCTCCTGACCAGTCCTGGTACCTCCCCACATGGCTCCTTGTGGTATGGTGTGCCCCCTGGTTATGACTGTATCCCCATAAAACTGTATCCCCATAAAATCCCTATGTTGACATCCATCCCTCCAGTGCAATGATATTAGGAGGTGAGGCCTTCTGGAAGATGATCAGATTTATAAGTTGTCATGAGGGTGGTTCTCGATATGGCATCAATGCACATATAAGAGACTTGGGAGAGCTCACTCACTGTGTCTTCCCTGCATGTGAGGACACCGTGAGAAAGCAGCCATCTGCAAGTCAGGAAGTGGGCCCTCATTAGGAACCCAAGCAGCTGACACCTTGATCTTGCCTTTCCAGCCTCCAGACTGACAAATCAATGTCCGCTGTGTAAACCAGTGACAGTGAGCTAAAAACCCCTCCTCTTGGGAGCAGCAAGTAAGAAACAATTTTTTCAATGGTAACTGACTCCTGATCTTCTGGCTTTACTGTACTTGAAATTTTCTATGAATACACTGTATTTTGAAACAGCTATTCACAAAGGAAATAACTATTTCCTTGTTTTGATGGGGCTCTCCTTTAAAAGAAAGGATATCTCTACCACTCAGCCAAACCCATGCCCTTCTCCAGAGGAGGAAGCAAGGCTGAAAGGAGCAAAGGTCTGTTGAGCCAATGTGTCTGACGGACACACTGAGGGTCATACCACCCACAAGAACCCTCACCATTTCGGTAGCTTCTGTGTCTGTGAGACTAATTTTACCCCTTGTGGTAAAAATGGATTTTTATGGCCAGAACCAAAGGACATCCCCACTCTGCTCTAACACAGTGTATAATGTGTGTGTGACCTCTGCCACAGCAGGCTGCCACACAGCCCTGCTCTCTTACCAAGGACCAAAGTTCTCCCAGGCTGAGGGTCACCAACCAGGCTCTTCTGAGAGACCCATGAACCCTGGGCCAGAGTGTGCTCCCCGAGCCGTAGTCTTGGGCCACTTACATCAATTAAATGCTTGACTTCATGTTTTTTGAGGTCACTTCCGATTTTGGCTGCTAACAACACACACGCTCCAGCACAGAGCTTCCGGTTCTGTTTGTTTAGCTTTCCCTTGAGGGCAAGCTTCTCAAAGTAGACAAAGGCCATGGCCACTGTTGGCTCCTCAAAGCCACAGTCTTCTTGAGCAAGCTTCCGCATCTCTCGCTTCAGGCTAGAGAAGGACAGGAAGGAGGGGAGAGTGTTGTTACAAGTTTCACCTCAGTCCCCTGTGCTCCTTCCTCCCTCCCTCCCTCTGAGCCCTCTCCCTCCTCCTCCCCTGCAGGATGTCTCAGATTTATTATTGTCCATTTTTGCTTTGTTGTGTTTTGTACTGTTATTTTTTTTTTGAGGTGATGGTGCACGGGTGCATTGGTGAAGGAAAGTCTATGGGGACTACACCTGAGCAGGTAGGGGGAAGCATATATTGTTTAAAAATGAACCATGATGTAAAAAATTAAAAAAAGGTTAATATTAAAAAAAAAGAACTTAGAAGTTTCAGGGGCCCCAAAGGAAAAGATTATTTTGTCCTGAAAGTATTTTCTCTTTCTCATCCCCAGAAGGGTGACATGGAATGGGATTAAATCCCTATGAGTGAGACAGTAACATTAAATGTGGGGAACAGACTTAAGTCTGGGCTTCAGACTCTTTTCTGAAGCTATACAGCAGGGGACTCGGGGGCCCATGCTGAGAAAGCAGGGATGCCTCAGGGTCTCTCTGGAAACTAGCAGTAGAGCTGATCACAGTTCAAGAGAGATGATTATAGATGTACTTGGTAACAGCTCTGCTGAATATCAGTTCTGCTTACTGACTAGGGCAGATGAGGGGTCAGCCTAAGAACACGAGTGTCTGAGGAAAGCTGCCCAGCAATGGACACAGTAAGAATATTTCAATTTTCTCACCTCTTTGGCCTGGACTATGCCAGAATCAGATAAGTATTGGGGGATACATACATGTAAATGCTGGCCTGTATTCCAATGTGATGTAAGTAAATAGCCTCCATAACCAAACACACACACACACTCTCTCTCTCTCTCTCACCTGATGCCACACAAGTCAGCTTTCCTCTGGCCCTGTAGGACCAGTCCTCTCAGCTATTTGGCTGGCAGATATGGATCACCACAAAATCAATCCAATTAGCCAAAGGGGAAATATGGGCCTGATTTTGTTTGGCTGTTTTGCTGATGGCATAGGTAGGGCTGGGCTGTCAGGTTCAGGCAGATGGGTAAAGTGTTATCTCAAGTCCTATGATACCACTCTTCTGTCTACATTTGAGAAAGCAGGGAACCAAACGTTTCCATAAATCTGAACCAGTGAGCGACAGACAAGTGATTCTTTCACCTAAGGAGCTTCACCCCAGATCCATGTCAACTTGTGTCAGAGCTCTGCCTTCTGTCCTGCTTCCCTTGGCTGCCTCACACCAAAGAACTAGTCATCCAGCATCAGACAAGCCTCTTTTCCCAAGATGTGCTGGGTTTTACTTCCCCGGAACCACCAGCAGACCCGTCATGCACAGCGTGAACTTCACATGTGCTGGGAGAGGGGTCTGTGGGAAAGTTTAAGTGGGTGTTGATCCCCATATACCTCCTTATTTTGCTGAGTGTTAACTTAATGTGAGGAAACTTCTCTTTGAAGGTCTCATTCATGTCCTTCTTGAGATCTGAGGGCTTCACGTAGTCGATGACTGTGGTCTGTAACAGATTGGGTGACATGGTCACTCCTTAAAATAAGGGGCATGGGTAATAATTATGCACATGTTATGGCCAACTTACAACTTCCACCACCACCACACAAGGGGAAACCCTGACCAGGGCCACAACAAGGGCTGGCTGCACCCAGGAGCCTGAATGGAGCAGTGGTCTCTGCAGGAAACCAAGCTCCTGTCCTTTCAGATCCCAGTGACATCGAGAAACCTGGCTGTAAGACCATCCGGAGCCAATGCTTGGTGGGTAGGACACCCCTTCCAGTGCCTACATTTCACATCATGCAGTGTTTATGCATGTGATTTGAACTCGTACAGATCGTACACATTTGACTATTAATAGTTGTCTAGCTGTGGGAGACTTATTTAACAGCCCTCTTTCATTTCCACGTCTGTAAAATGAAAACAGTGTCTATTTCACAGGCTATTTTCAGACTATATCAGAAATGCTCTGTGTAGCTTGGCATACAGCAAGTGCTCAATAAATGTTAGATTTTTTTTTTTTAAATTCATTTTTTAAGGGGTCTCCTTGGTGGTACAAGGGGTTAAGCACAGCACTTTGAAGCTATCCACAGCCTCTGCAGCACGAGTTCGATCCCTGGCCAGCCAGGGAGCTACCCACATGGCGTAGCAGACCTCTCCTATCTTGCCCGCTGCTCCCCTCAGCAGTGTATTTCAGTATCTGCCTGTTCTGCTCCCCACTCTGTCTCTGATGAATCCTCTTACTGCCTCCCCCTGAGCCCGCACTTCTGGCCTATACCCCAGTTCTTGTATGCATAAATAAATAAAATCTTTTTTAAAAAAGCTTTAAAATGTATTTTTTTAAGTGTCTAGTATATGTAACAAAAGAGTTACCATTTTAGCCATTTTAAAGTGTAAGGTTCAATGGCATTAAGTGCCTGAACATTGTTGAACAACCATCACCACCCACCATCTCCAGAATTTTCAACAGTTTATAAAACTGAAACTCTGTACCCATTGAATGCTAATTCTCATTCCCTCTCCCTCCAGCCCCTGGCAACCACCATTCTATTTCTCTCTCCCTGAATCTGAGTACTTGAGGTGCCACAAATAAATGGAATCACACAGTATTTGTCTTTTTGTGTCTGCTTATTTCACTTACCACGAAGTCCTCAAAGTTCATCCATGTTATTAAGCATGAGAATTCCTTCTTTTTAAAAGGTAATGCTATTCTATTGTATTTACAGTTGACCCTTGAATAACAGATTAAGAGCACTAATCCCCCAGAGTGAAAAATATATGTAATAACTTTTTACTCCCCTCCAAATTTAATTGCTAATAGATTGCTGTTGACTGGAAGCCTTCCTGATAACATAAAGTCTATTCACACTTTGTATATAGTATTTATATTACATATATACTGTATTCCTAAAGTAAGCTAGAGAAAATGCTTTTAGGAGAAACAAGGAAAATATATTTACTGCACTGTGCTATATTTTATTGAAACTATAAGTTTATGCTGCTTGTTTACAAGAAAATTCACATACACGTGGATCCATGCAGAGTGGGCCCTTGTTGTTCAAAGGTCAACTGAATATAATGTTAGCTCTAGTAATAGTCCCTGAACCTTAACGTTCCCTTTTCTCCCATTTCTGTTTTCTGATTCTAGCCATCCTTAAAGACTGGCTCCTTGGAGCCCTTTCTGAGTGCTCGGTCTTCCCTACTCCTGTGTGCCTGATTCTACGTGGATCCTGGCTAGTTGGCATCATCCCTTCTACTCCAGGCTACGCTTTCTAAGAGCAAAGATAATTTGTGATGCCTCTTCTGGCAGACTTTGGGCAACAACTTTCATAAGGCAAAGCCAGAGAAAGAAGAAACTACAGATTCAACAACAAAGTAGATTCCCTGGGATGGCCATTGCCAGCCTCTTCTTTGACAAAAGCCTGGCCTTTCCAGAAGATGCATCAAAGTTTTCATCAATGGCTCTAACAACACTTGGTGACATTCTGTGAACTGTAAGGAAAACGGGTTACTCAGGAACTTTTTTGCCTTCCCGCCGCTAGCCTCTATGGCTGCCACCTGCAGTCCTGTTTTCCTCCTAGGTTTTGTTGCTCACACATGATAACAAATCAGAAAAAGCACTTTTGAGCAGAGTAGACCCCCTCCCCGCACCTATGATTACAGATGCCTGGGCCGGGAAGCCTGCGTACACCGGGTGTGCACATATATATATATATGGAGGCCTGGGGGCTGAGAAGTAAGCGGTTGGAGGACAGAAGAGAAACCAGCGAGAAGCCAGAGAGGGAGAGGGGAGATTATAGATCACCGGGGACTGGGAGGCTCTGTTGCTGCCTGCCTCTCTGCCAACCTGCCTCCCTGCCCATTGGTCTGCCTATGTACCTGGCTCCCTGCTTCAGCACTAAAGTCATGTCAGATACACCAAAGGCTCCAAGATCCTTTTCCATTTGCCCGAATCAACCATGACCCTGCCTGGCCTGGGATGGTCGCCCCAAAACCACCTTCCCAAAGACACTTGGTTGGACATGATTTTAGACAAGGCGAAGGGAAGCTTCTGGTATCAATTAGTAACCAAGAGCCGGCAAACAGCCAGCACATCCAAATTCGCACTGACCTTAAAGGCACCATCTTTGCTTCTCTGGTGAATGAAGGTCAACCATAGCAAACTTGACTCAAGTGATCCCACCACACCTGTCAGAGATTTCTCAAATTCTGGATGAATGTATGGGCTCAGTGGGTACAATGCTATATAGTCTTGGCCTTGGAGCCATAGTCTTTCCAGCCCAATCAGGAGGCAACTAGCCAGCACATCATGTGCCCATCTGGCCCCTGCCACGTGCACCTGCCACATGCCGGTGAAGGGCAGGGAAGTGGAACGCAGCCTTGAGGCGCCAGTGTGCAGATGTGTGTCCCAGCACTGCCCTGCCAGGCACGGAGGGGGCACACAGGGCTTCATAGAGTCACTTACTGCCAAGGTCCAGCAGGGTGCACGCCTCCCCCAGTGCAGTCCTCCAAGATGGGTTTGTTTCCCTTCTTTAAAAAACTGCTCTATTTTATCTCAGACAAGATTCTAGGTCAAACAGGAAGTAAGATTTTTCATTTAGGAAACAGGCACAGAATGGGGGACCACATCAGACACTTTTACCTCAAGCTGGGCCCACCAGCCAATTCTGCTTCCTAACTCCCCAGCACCCTTCCCTTCTTTGCCACCCCTCCCCACACACAGAGGTGCCCTGAATGCCCATATGGCCCCTCCTGCTGCTGCTCTGCAGAGTCATGCCTTGGCAGTGATGCAGACAGGCCCAAGCACGAGTCACCGGCCTTTGTTGGGAGCGGAAGCCCAGTGAGCAAGGACATCCTGGCGGGGGGGTTGTCTGGATCTGTCCCCACAGCAACAGCAGCTCTACTTTCTTCTGTCTTTTATGTAGATACATGTAACACTTCTTGAAAGAAGACTCCCACTGAGGAAAAACTTTGCAAGTGTGTTCCATCCATCTCACTTGGCTGATGAGGACACAGGATCAGAGTGAAGTGAAGCTTGTTCAGGAACTGCAGGCTGAGGCAGGGTCAGCACTGGGACCTGGTCTCTGAGCTCACACATGCACTGCCTTCCTGCTTTCCTATCTTAATCAGACTGAAACAAGCAGTAGAAAGTAGCTGGAAATGTCAGCAGGTGGAATGGTCTGGGGAAGAGTTGGCGATTTCGCCTCCAGAAAGTTGAGCAACTTGGAGAAAGTGGTTCCATCTCCCTGAGCCCTTGTCTTGAAGAACAGACAGAACAGAATGTACCTAAAGGAGACTGGAGAATTTTATAAAGAGCACAAAAGAGGGGAGACAGCAGCAAGCTGGGCTCTGCTGTAGTACCAAAGTCAGCGCGTGAAGGTGGGGCCCTAGTGTCTGCACTGTGATATTGCCTAGGTGATTTTTATGCAAATCAGATTCTCCTTCATGGCTGACATCTTTCCATAGGTAGGCTTGTAATGCCATTCTGCAGGACCTTCTTTCCTGAGAGATGTCTTCCCTTCCTAGTGATGGGAGGCTGGACTGCCAGGCCAGCATAGGATTACAAAGGGCACCTGGTCAGTCATTGTTTCTGACTTGAGAATGAATTAAAAGTGAGGGCAATGCTTTGCTCTAGCTTCCCTATCAGTCTAATTGTAGGTTTATAAAGACTGGCAATGCCTGAGTTTTCCAGTGCTCGTTATTACAAATCAAAGTGATAATAAACAGGCTATGGTTCCTTCCTGGTCCGGGACAGTGATTGACTGCTGTTTACAATGCCACTTAATTCCATGCCCTGAGATTCTCCAATGCAGGGCTTTCTGTAACCCCAGAAGCAGCCGACAGCTGAGTCAGGCCGTATGATGGACGGGTAGCTTGAGTTTTTGCAGAGGGGGCTATTCTGCTACTGGGGGAGAGGTCCTGGAATGCACTTTCTCCCAGTTGCCTGGGAGCAGGAAAGCTGTGTATGCACGGCTGCATGAAAGAGAAGAGAGTTAGGCTAGGGAAACAGACACAACCCAAAATACAGAATGTCTGGAGAGACACAATTCAGAAAGGCGCCCTGTACATAGTATGCCCTGCCAGAGAAGGGACATGGAATTACAAAGGTCAATCCTGGGGCTGGCACCTGTGAATCCCTTCTGAGATGACAGTAAAAGATGGTAAGATCACAGCTTAGTTATCTAGTTGGAAGTCTACTATACCTGTTGCAGAGACACGGAGGCATACTTTGCTTTCAAAAATTTTTTTTGACACTTGGATTTTTATGAAAATAAAGACTTGACCCATCATGAGAGGAGAGAGGGGCCTCCATGAAACTGAAGTTGGGTACCGTCTTGTCTTGACCCATCATAAAGTGAAGGCTTCTAGGGTAAAGTGGGTACCAGTGCAGAGGGAGGGGACAGGTAGAAACTGAGGCAGCAGGTCTGTGTGTGGAGGGGGTACATAATCCCCAAAAACTATGCTGGAAAATGGGAGGCTCAAACTGACAGGTTGCTGATCTGATTC